TGTATTCTCTTATTGGCCTTAGTATACTGTTGATAAATTATAAAATAACTGCAAACTATATATATTTAATTAACTACAGAAGCCTTAAAATTTTTCATTATAGTCGGGGACACRAAAAATGATCGCTGCCCGGCACGCGCCAAGCGGCTTACTAAAAAATACTTATGTTAAATTTATTTACAGTAACTACCACCAACCAAAAATATTCAAATCAAGGTTATTATTATACTATTTACTACCTTAGAATATTATCTATGTTATATGAGCAGCCTCAAGGTCCTAATGACTATTAGGAGATAAACCCCTTTGACTACCTACCTAATTTAAGCTATGGTTTTAACAACACTTGTTAGGAGGGGGGGATATAGACTGACAACTGTCTTTGCTCAGAATCGTTTTTGTATACAATGAATGAATAACAATATCATTGAATTTAAATTTAACATGTATAATACAATGGTTAGCAAAATGTTGGTYGAATTTATAATGTCCAGATAACGTTAAGAGAAATTGYCTAACAATTTAAAACGGCAGCTAAAAAAGTGCCTAACTCGAGATCAAGCAAAACATTACAATAAGACATGGGAAATTGTTATAACAAAGAAATTCTTGTTAAATAACAGATAGAAAAGCAATTGAATGAATGATAAACTTTTAGCAAAATAGAACGAGACTTACTACACTGTATAATTTATTTAAAGTTGAAATTTACAATCCTTACCTACAACATTAAGACACCTATTGAACCATTTAGTAAACATGAGAATGGGTATTAATAACCACAACAGACAAATAATATTTTCAACGGTAGAAAAAATTTGACTATAAGTTGCAACGACACTGTTTATAAAAGTACAGTGAACATTAAAAATAAAAGATTGATTAACATTATACTAATATGTACATCGAGCTTAACAAATAATGTACTAAACACAAATTGGACCGTTTATATAGAACCAATATTGCAATGACTACTCGATAAAAAGGTAYGGTAGGTACACCAAACACCTATTGGCTATTGTATCTACAGAAGAGTAGTTATCTACTTTCCAGCTTCTTTTCATATTAAAGTATGATCAGAACTTACAAAGATAATATTATATTATACACTTATATCTTCTGATAAACAAAAGAATGTCTAGTCATTTCTAAAATTGACAGAACTATGATGTTTTGGTAAGTAAACTGAATTTTAAACTACTTAGTAGACCATAACACAATATAAAACTACAGTATMAATTCAACATGCATGAATATCATAATATATGATAGTATAATACTCAATTATTGGTTTGTCGAAAATAATTAATTTTCTATAGTTTTACACAATTTTAACATGTCAAAAGTATGGACAATATCTACATTACACAGTATACATATAGTAAATGTAAAACAAAAAGAAAAATAATTTTTATCAGCAATGTAATCCTTGACCTTCGTATTTAATCACTAATTGTCTTATGTATGAWACTGCTGCTTCATCTAATCTTAACTTTGAAACTTCTGAATCAAATTGATCAATTCCTCCTTGACCAACAACATAACCATTTAGTCTAGCAGCTACATGAGAATTAATCAGATCATCTCCGGTCTTGAGACCAAGGTTGTTGCACAGGTTTTTGTGTTGTTGTAATCGGTATTTTTGATGGTAACTAAATATTTTATATCAAAATTTTGTTAGTAAAATACAAATTGTAAAAAATCAAAAATAGCAAATATTTACTCCTCAGCATTGAAGAATTGACCAGCGGGTTCTATTTTAGTCAATATATCAAGACCCTTGGCCTTCTTCTCATTTAAAGTCAGCTCTGCTTCTGATTTTTGTTGATCATTATGGTAGTATATAAATGATGAGTACTAGAAATCAACAAATAGCTTAATAAAATAGATTGAATGAATAAATATAAAAAAATAATATTTTTTATAATATTTAAATATTAAATGAATTGTAAATATGCATTCAAAATAAAAGTAAGTATAAAAATTATGAATACATACTTGCTTTTTAAACTTTGCAGTAGGATCATGATGGTCCCAAAACATTTTCAATAACTCTAAATAAGAGACAGTATTAGGATCGTATTGCAATTGAATGGCTTCTGTATAGTCACCACTAAAATTTAAAAAAAATGATTTATTTATCAAAATTTTAGATTTTTACAAAATTTTAAACTTACATGTTTCTATATGTAGGAATAAAACCTTCAGTTCCGCCAGCATAACCAACTCTTGTAGTAATAACACCCGGAGTAGAACCGAAAAGACTGTCAGGAGCCCAAAAACAGCCCATAGAAAAGGTTGCTTTTTCTGATGGAATGTCAAGATAATGTAATGGTTCCATTTTCTATAGAAATAGTAAAAATGTGTAATGTCTTWAAAGAGTATAAATAACTATTAAGAAAATTATGTTATGTTTTCAAAGCTATGAATTGAAACAGCTACTAAACAAAAATATGAAAACCTTATAGTTTAAATAGAGTACATTGTACTCACATCTTTTAATTGCAATTGTTATATCTTTAAGTAGACCATACCAATCAACAAAATATAAAGATTATAACTTAACTCAAATACAAAATAGGTACTTATATATAGCTAAATACAATAAAATGAAAGGATGATTTAATTTCAAGTAAATGTTGCGGTGGAAATATAAATGATCGTTGAGATTAACTGATAAATATGGATAACCATAACAAATTACTTAGTTTTCTGATGCAACATGAACCACTTGAAAATAAATAATTCAATACATAATAGTAAGCTTGCTATACAATTTATCCGAGTATAAAATACATAATCTTTTTTTCAACACTTCAATAAGATACTAAACAGTGGTGTAACTGAGTAAAAACTAGGGGGGAGGCCAAATGTTTAATTCACTAAAATCATAACATAATTATTTTTTTTTACATACAAGTCTTAAAATTTATTTTATGACTTGGATAAAAATCACAAGTACCAAAATCATYGAATAATATTAATTAAATAAGGATATGAGAGTTCATTAAAAAAAATGGTGMTACATCATATTTTAAAATGATAATGTGATGATWATTATTATGTAATCATAATTTATCTCATGAAATAATATAATTGAGTTATTTTTGTAACCAAGATAATACAATAACGTTGGAACTACATTAATGTATGATGTATGATATAATAGGAGAAATGTGAAATAAATGTACTTAATATATGCAATTATTTAAGGAATTTTTTTTTTTATCTTATTAATGTATAATATTGTTAAATGCACTGCATCTYTCTTTATTTTAGAAGATTTAAAGATTTCTACTATTGGCATAACTGGGGAAGGGACAAATGCCACTCCTATAAATTACAATCACCCCACTGATACTAATAATTAAGAAAATAAACTAAATTTTAAAACTTACTATACTAGTAAATAATATAGKTACTATTATTACAAACAATCAATAAATATAATATTTAATCTTATTTGTATGTTTTTAAATTTTTTTTTTAATATAAATGTATTATTCACTAACACATTTAAAGTACATAAAAAAAACAATTATGAGAATTTTTTTAATAAAAAATAAAGGACTATACCTATCTTATAGGCGTAACAAAATTKTATTTTATTTTATTTTACAGAATTACATGTATCATAATACAAAACAAAATGTTATTGATGGTATTAATATTTGAAAACAAAAATAATGAAAATATAAAATAATAAAGTACATATTAGTAATATTGTCCAACTT